TGTTTGTAGGTGTGGTTCTGTGTGTTCATCCCTCTTGTGCATGTTTACTCAGCTGTACACAGTGAGCCAGGACGGGACGCTGTGTGTGTGGGAGAGCGACACCGAGCTGGACGGCCTCATTCTGAAGAAGAGCCAGGACAAACCCAAGCTCCCGAGACAAGGGGAGGAAGAGGAAGAAGAGGAGAGCGAGGAGAGGGACAAGGTGGAGGGAGAGGAGGGAGAGGTGATCAGAGGGAAAGTTGAAACCGCCAAAGAGAGAGAGAAGAAGAAGAATGTTCGATACAAGATGATGAGCAAGTAAGACACCTTCAATTTCCCGATTCTTTTCCTGATTTGTCTCTGATTGCAATTCTGATTTTATAACTGCTAAAGTTTACATATTTATTTTTATTTATTAGTTTAATCAGTTAAATCAAATGAGGTTTTTTTTGGGTGCTAACAACTTCAGTATATTTAATGATGTCATATAAGCTTTTACCTTCATATTGTGAATATTTTCAGTTACCGGCCCTTCAGTTTCACAGGGATGGATCAGAGTTTTCTGTTTTTGTCTGATTTGTTTGAAACATTTATGAGCTTTCATAACTACATAATTACAGGAAGAATCCATGTTAAATTTTCAGGGCTGGGAAACACATTCTAGCTTTGTTTGGTTTGTAAGAACTTGCTGATTCTTGAGCTTTTTGCTCAGAGGGGTTATTCTTTCATGCTTACCTCACTATTTTAAGCTCTGGCTTTATTTATTATGAATATCCAGCTCTGTAACATTAATAGAAGACAATGCTGGCATTAGGATTTTAGTGAGATCTAAAAACAGCCTTTTGTTTCCACGTTCAGACACTTTTTCAACAAAGAAGGGGATTTTAACAACTTGACTGCTGCTGCGTACCACAAACCGAACCACATCCTGGTCACAGGCTTCGCCTCTGGGATATTCCACCTGCACGAACTTCCAGAGTTTAACCTCATTCACTCCCTGAGGTGAGGGAAAAGCTGTGGTTTGGTTTAAAAAGTAACAGGACAGATGTGTTTTCTCATCTAACCGTGTGGATGTGTCTCCCTGCAGTATTTCAGACCAGAGGATTGCCTCGGTGGCTATAAACAGCTCCGGAGACTGGATCGGCTTTGGGTGCTCGCGTAAGAATTTGTTTCTTTTTACGTGTGTGTGTGTGTGTGTGTGTGTGCGCGCGTGTTAGCTTACTGGTGTTGCAGAGTAAAACTCAAAAGGTAAACACATCGACTGTTTCAGGGATGGGCCAGCTGCTGGTGTGGGAGTGGCAGAGTGAGTCGTACGTGTTCAAGCAGCAGGGACACTTCAACAACATGGCGTCGCTGGCTTACTCTCCAGACGGACAGTACATCGTGACGGGAGGGGACGACAGCAAAGTGAGTCTCAGAGTGAAGCCTTTAACTTCATGTGTCCATGCTGAGACAGGAGAACAGGGGTGGGAAACTCCAGGCCTCAAGGGTCGGTGTCCTGCAGGTTTTAGATATCACCCTGAATCAACACACCTGAATCCAATCATTAGTTCAATACCAGATAAATGAAGACTCAAGGTCTTGTCTCTGACTCCACACTGTGTTAATAAATTCCTGCAGGTGAAAGTGTGGAACACCAACACCGGCCTCTGCTTTGTCACATTTACCGAACACACCAGCAGCGTCACTAACGTCACCTTCACCTCCAGCGGCTTCGTCATCGTCAGCGCTTCTCTGGACGGGACGGTCCGAGCCTTCGACCTGCACAGGTGGGCGCTGGCGGCAAGGGCGGGGGTGTATTCTTTTAAAAGATGGTTGAGAATGTATTCCTGTAATGTTGTTTTGGTTTTTGTTTTGTTTTTGGCAGATACCGAAACTTCAGGACTTTCACGTCGCCTCGGCCTGCGCAGTTCTCCTCCCTCGCAGTAGATGCCAGTGGGGAGCTGGTGAGCGCAGGAGCTCAGGATTCCTTTGAGATCTTCCTCTGGTCCATGCAGACAGGCAGGCTGCTAGAGGTAGGCATCATGCTTCTTTTTAATTACGCTTTTTCATCCTTCCTTATGAGACAGACTAACTTGATTGAAGCTGCCAGGATCCCTCAGATTAACACTTCCTTCCTGCGACCGGACAGGTCCTGGCGGGTCACGAGGGTCCGGTGAGCTGCCTCTGTTTCAGTCCGGTTCAGTCCGTCCTGGCCAGCTGCTCGTGGGACCGAACCGTTCGGCTGTGGGACATGCTGGACAGCTGGCAGACCAAGGAAACGCTTCCCCTCACATCTGATGGTAAATTCAGATCCTTCGTGAAGCCATCAGTGATCGTCTTGTGATTTGGGTGTTTTTTTTGTTTTGTTTTTTTTGTTTTTTATGCCGCCACTAGGGGAGGGGGGACAGATTGAAAGATTCAAGTTGCTTTTAAGTTGGTTTTGTTTCTTTTGTAATGTTTGTCTGTTTGTTAGCAGTCTAGCGTCCACAGTTTTTAAGATATCATGTTCAACCTTTTGTGTGACGGTAGATACTACAAACAGCTCAAGCTTATTTCATTTGGGTGAAAACTGCGTCCAAGTCAAGGTCACACCAAACTGAAAATCAGTAACGACTTTTTATGGATCGTCTTCAAACTTCCCAAAAATATACTAGGCCTTGACTACCTAGGTTTGCTATGCATTTGGCTTTGACCTTCATTGTTAGCAAAGTCAATGTTGAAAAAAATTTAAAAGTTATCAAGTGATATATCATATGAAAGGGCATAGAGAGAGCTGTACAACACTTTTTGTTTTTTCAATACGATGCCCTATAATGTCACTATGACCCCATGAAGTTTTGTAAAATTACACGTGTGCATGAATATATCCTTAAATTTATCTTAAACTTTTTGCAGCTTATAGAAGCCAAAGATTTTAGCCAGTTTTGCTCTGATTATATAGGTAAAGATGATAAAATAAACCATTTTACTATGCAATGTTTCAAGGTCAAAGTTTATGGTCACACGAATTTATTTAAAGGCTTTATAGTTTCCTTTGGATTATAAAATAACAGTCATTTTGGGACATCAGCACTTTCTTTGGCTGAGCTCTACAACATCATGTGACTTCACAGTAACAGAAAAACATTTATACACTGTACTGGATTTTTATTGTTAGTGCTGACATCAGCATAAAACATCAAGTTTCAGCATAGCCCTTCAGGGCGAGTTCTCTCTGTGCTTTTGTTTGTTGTATATGTCTATGTAAAATTCTGCCTCCCTCACTGTGTTATTTTATTTATTTATTTTTTAAATTTAAATGTCTTTTGTTCCTCAGGCTTGGCAGTGACGTACCGCCCCGACGGTCAGGAGTTGGCTGTGGCCACTCTGAACGGTGAGATCTCTTTCTGGAACCCGCACACGGCCACACAAAACGGCTCCGTTGCTGGACGACACGACCTGCAGACAGGCCGCAAGGAGACGGATAAAATCACAGCCAAGCAGTCCGCCAAGGGCAAGTGAGTGGATGGGATTTGAGCCTCAGGTTTGATTCCACTGGTTCAAATCATCTCGTTTAATGTGACTTTATTTTTTTCTTCTGTCTCTCGTTAAGGTCGTTTACATCACTGTGTTACTCTGCGGACGGGGAGTCTGTTTTGGCTGGGGGTCAGGCCAAGTTTGTCTGCATCTACAACATCAAGGAGCAGATGCTCATAAAGAAGTTTGAAATCTCCTGCAACCTGTCCTTCGACGCTATGGAGGTGCGACCTCACAGTCTGCTCAGCGAGTTTATTTCCATGTCACATGACTGCAGCATACATATTTAATAGCATCGGCTGTCCTGGAAAAACAGATCTATGGTTGATGGTTGAGGGTTTTTTTTTTTTTTTGGTTTTTTTAAGGAGACGAGGCGAATCCAAAATAGGAATTTAAGGCATTTTTTAAATGTTAGATGAGTAAACATGGATGGATCGGACGCTTCATCGTGAAAATGTGCATCTTTAGTCCTTGAAGAGGTTTTAATTATGACAGGTTTCACTTATCCTGTTGTCCTGCTTCACCTTCAGGAGTTCCTGGACAGGAGGAAGATGACAGAGTTCGGCAGTCTGGCTCTGGTGGATGAAGGAGCCGGGGACGGAGACGGAGTCAGCATCAGCCTCCCTGGAGTCAGGAGAGGTACAACCCTCACACGAAGGCTCAGACCAGTTATTATAAGTGTGGAAGTGGTGTGTTTGCTACAAGGTGCAGTGGTCAGAAGTGGTTATTGCTGTGATCGGACTGAAACCGCCAGAATTAAAAATCGATAAACTTTAGAAGTGAGGATTTTAATGTATTTTGATTCATTTAGGTGATTAAAAATTTGACATTTTCTCTGATTTTGACCTTGAGTTGATCTTGACTTTATGATATAATTTTGGCAGCCCTCCATGTAATTAAGTAATTGTATTTTGTTAGGATCATGAGGCCTTTTACAAAAAAGTGTCTTGTGCCTTATTCACTGATGTTTTTGAATCGACCCTCACTGATTCTTGTGTCTGCTCATCCTTAAAGGTGACATGAGTTCTCGTCACTTCAAACCTGAGATCAGAGTGAGCTCGCTGCGGTTCTCCCCTACTGGTAGGTGACAGAATTACAGCTTGGAGCATATTTTCAAAATGTTATCCTGTGAACACTGGATGATGGAAGACAACACTGATGTTGTCCTTCATGATGTTGATGTTGTCCTTCATCACAGCAGTTTTTCATGTTGTTTGCTGTTCCCATTACGGTGTTTGAATCTCGTGCAGCAAACTTCGCTGCACAGCAGCAGACACGTTTATGAAGCATGTATGAAAAGCATGCGTCCCGTTACAGACGAGCTTTGTCGGCCGGTTAGTCAAGTTGTTCTCCTCCTCCTCAGGTCGCAGTTGGGCGGCCACCACCACTGAGGGCCTGCTGGTCTACTCCCTTGACGGGTCACTGGTCTTCGACCCGTACGACCTGGACCTAGACGTGACACCGGCCAGCATACGCAAACAGCTGCGCCTTCAGGAGTGGGCGTCGGCCATAGTCCTGGCGTTCAGACTGAACGAAAAAGCCCTCAAGCAGGAAGTGTTGGAGAAGGTCCCACATGAGCAGAGTGAGTGAATTTCACCTTATTTAACATTTTGAGTTCCCTTTTTCACTTGGAAACGCCCGAGTGATGTGAGTTGTGTGTCCTTCTGGCCTAGTCTCGGTGGTTTGCGGCTCTCTTCCTGACATTTATGTCGAGAAGCTGCTGGGTTTCATCGCCACGTGTTTGGAGAAGTCGGGCCACTTGCAGTTCTATATGACCTGGGCCCAGAACCTGCTCATGCTGCACGGACAGAAACTGAAGAACAGGTGTGTCCTCAGGCTCTCATTCACATCACAGATTCAGTTCAGCATAACTGTAAGTGAACAGAAGATGACAGCAACAAATTTTTCAATGCATCTGCTTTGGCATGCAGGTCTGGAGCCATCCTGCCCACGCTGCAGGCGCTACAGAAGAGCATCCAGAGGCACTTCGACGACCTCTCCAAGCTGTAAGTTACAGATCCTCTGAAATGTTGTGCCTTTGCCCAGATACAGCTTAACAGATCTGAATGTGTGCTTTGTTTGTGTAGCTGCGACTTCAACATGTACAACATCCGCTATGCCGTGGCCCTCTCAAAGCAAAGAGGCTTAAAGAGGGCGGCTGAGGAGGAGACAGAGGACCAGGAGGAGGAGGATGAAGAGCTGTCTGAGGAGATGAGCGAGGCTTCTTTAGAGGATGCAGAAATGATGCTGTAGGGCCACCTCAGTGCCACAGCATGACACATGTTGAACTGTAAAAGAAAAACAGATTTTTGTGTACTTGGATGTGATGTTTTAGAGTTCTTTTATAATTAAATTCATATATAACTGTGGATGGTTTTATTTGGTTTAATGAAATGTCACCCTGCATGATTATAATTATTATTATTATTGATTTCTTTTTTGTTAGCGTGTGTATATATAGAACATTTATAAGCAAATGTTATTTACATTATTATGCAAAGGTCTTGGACGCCTCCATATTTTTTCTAGGAAAATAAATGAAATAGATGCTGTGATGTGTATATCTTGAGGAATAGTTCTCCAGACTTCTTGACGGACATTCAAAGCTCTTCTTTGGATGTTTCTGCCTTTTGTTCTGTTCTGTGTCAACATGATCCCACACTGCTTAAATAATGTTGAGGTCCGGGCTCTGGGGAGGCCGATCCATGACTCGTAGTGTTCCACTGTGTGTTTCTATTCAGGAATATTTTACTGCATTGGCAGTGTGTTCGGGATCATTGCCATGCCGAAAAATTAAGCTGTTACCAATCAGATGCTTTCCAGATGTAATTGCATGGTGGATCAAAATCTGATGGTACTTTTCTGAGTTCTTAATTCATCATTTGAAGAGATCTTGAACACCACTTACTGAAATGCAGCCCAAACCTTGATAGAGGTTCCACCGTGTTTTACAGATGTCTGCAGGCACTCACTGTTGTAACGTTTGTCCTAGCTTGTGCAGTTGAATCTGAATGTGTAAACTGAATGTGAATGAAAAAGCAGCAATGGCCAAAGAAACACTTTGAAAGATTATCAGAAAGCTGGAGAACTGTTGCTCAAGAGCGTTTAAAATGACAGAAGTCCGGAAGTAAAAGATAAAGAAATTATTATAAAAAAAATATATAGTGGCACGAAGCAAAAATATAAATAATACGCCTGCACGGCTTTAACTGGAAAATAACCGGTATTTGTGCAGTCGAGCTGCGATTCGCGATTGGCTGAATATTCAGTTTCCGGCATGCTCGTGGGCGTAGGAGCGGAAGGGGCGGGGTTAATTCCAAAATGAGGGAAAATAAGAACATGTCCGAGTCCCCTTCTCAAGCGGGAAAAGAAATACCGGCTAAAAAGCAAAAGCTGAGCAGCGATGAGAACAGCAACCCCGACTTGTCAGGAGATGAGAACGTAAGCATTTAAACCGTGTTTGATGTTGGGCCGCAGATGAGCCGTGTAGCGCTTCTGATCAGTTAGCATTGTGCTAAAGTAGCCGATGTGCTAAAGGCTTTAGCTAGCATCTTTGTTTATTCATACCGGCTGGATTCAAACAGCTGGAGCTATCAGATATAGTTATTCACTGTGGACTATTTTAGTGTCTTCAAATAAATTTTCCCGCACGTGTTCCACCATCCATGTTAGCGCACACGTGTTTTCTTTGTGCTCAGACTGGAGTTATTCACGTGTAAACCTGGGCTAGCCTTGGCAAAAAGCATCAAGCAGATAAATAATAAACCAAATACTGACCAAAATGTAATGTTTTTCGGATGGGTTGCTCAAGAATGGTCTTGAGTTAAGCTTTGATTGTGAGAGAAATCTTATAGCGCTTTATGGACTGATTAATGAGGAATGTTTTTGTAGCAGCCTGGGCCAACCACAGCCATCTTTACTCGTCTCCTCCTTCATTGTGTTTAAACTGACCCGATAGTTTGGAAGTGATACGCTTTTGATTGTTTGTTTTTTTTGTGCTATTAAAAAGTGCAGTGTTAAACAAATAGCAAGGCAAGAAACTTGTTTACAATGTCTTCAGCACATCAGGCACACTTTGTTTATGAGTGCTCATGTTCTGGTCTCAATGCGCATGTTTAGAAGATGATTTTGCATTAAATAACACGTTTGTTTGTGTTGCTGCTGGTTGCAGGACGATGCCGTCAGCGTTGAGAGTGGCACCAACGCAGAACGCCCAGACACACCCACCAACACCGCCAATGCCCCTGGCAGAAAGAGCTGGGGCAAGGGCAAGTGGAAGTCCAAGAAGTGCAGATATTCTTTTAAATGTGTCAACAGCCTGAGGGTGAGTACGTCCAGCACACCAGACAGTGTGCAGAACCTAGAGGGGTTTACTGTGAAATGAGCCAGCAAATGTCCTGCTAACTGCCTGCAGTACAAAAAAACAATACATAGTCAGTCAGGTATTTGGATGTTCTTAGCTGTCGATTCAGAAAAGGCATTAATAGGTCTGTCCTAATCTGCTGCCTGGTCTGATTTAAACTGCTAGGCAGGCAAGACAGAATACACGTGTGAATGAGTGACAGGTGAGTATCCAAGGAGTAGATATCGTGAAAGCAAAGGAGTTTAAATATCGTGGATCAACCCACTGAAAGCAGCAGATGGTGTGCAAAAGAGGTCAAAAAGAGCGTGCAACCAGCGTGTAGTTGGTAGAGACAAGTGTCAGGGTTGATTTGTGACAGAAAGATGGCAGCAAAAGTGAAAGGGGAAGTTTACAAGATCATATTGGAGGCCTGCTATGATCTCTGGTTTGGAGACAGTGGTGCTGACATAAAGACAAGAGGCAGAGTTAAAGATGTTAAGAGTTTCATTGGCAGTTACCAGAAGGGATACGATTAGAAGGTAATGCATCAGAGGGACACCGATTTACAGACAAGGTTTGAGAGACGATGCTGAGATGGTTTGGACATGTGCAGAGGAAAGACTGGATATATTGGACTAAGGACGATGAAGATGGAACTGGGGGAGGAACTGAAGGAGGACATGCAGTGGGTTGTTGTGTCAGACGAGGATGCCAGGAAGGCAGATGATCCGCTGTGGTGTGGCGATCACTAAAGGCAGCAGCTCAAAGTGGAAGAACACAGATGGGAAATTTGAATTATTTACAGAATATCGTCAGTAATATTCAGCCAAAGCTTGTAGTTAGGGCTGGATCAGGTGACCCTGATTCCTCCCTTTGCTACACTGCAAAAGGTCTAGGCTGCTGGGGGATTCCCATGATGCATTGAGCATATCTTTGGTCTCTTAATGTTTTATAAACCAGTCTGCAATTAATCATTAGTTATTGTTAATCTCTGGCAGTGTCTCTTTGTCCTTTATTTTTCCCCTCACTTCGAACCAGTGGCAACAGATTCCCGCCCCTACCTGAGCCTTTTTCTTCCTCTTAAAATTGAGTTTTTCCTTCCCACTGTCCCCAAATGCTTCTTCATAGGGAGTTGCCTGATTGTTGGGGTTTTCTCCATGTTATTGTGGTGTCTTTACCTTATAATATAAAGAAGAGATTTCTGTTGTGATTTGGTGCTACACAAATCAAACTGAACTGAATTGATTGAAGTGTCATCTAACCAGAACAAAGCCTTGTTTTGTTTAACTTGCTTCTTAGTACACCCATCTGGTTTAATGCGCGCTCATACATACAGGATTTTTTTTTTGTAGGAGCGCAAGTGGCTATTAACAACATCTGTATTTGTCTCAGGAGGACCATGGCCAGCCATTGTTTGGAGTGCAGTTTAACTGGCACAGCAAGGAGGGAGACCCGCTGGTGTTTGCTACAGTTGGGAGTAACAGGGTAAATAAATGATCAGTTATTTAAAAAGTTGGTTTAAATTGCTTATTTCTGTAGTGGGTCAGCATATTACCAGAGGTGGGAAAGTCCTGATCTGTTTACTGGTGTTTGTCCAATATATTGTTAGGAGTTTTCAAAGCATGCAGCTCACTGTGAAATGCTCGCAAAGACAATAAAAGCATGAGATTTACCAGTGTATAACAACAAGCTCCAATGACTTCTTTATCCATTGATAGTTTGGCAATGAAAGGAACATTAAAAAATGTCTTTTAAACACTGATTATTAGTGACCTTGTCCGCCTCTCACATCTGTGCTTATCCAGGTAACTCTGTATGAATGCCACTCTCAAGGAGAAATCAGACTCCTGCAGTCCTACGTTGATGCAGACGTATCCTTTCACCTACTTCCTCAATCCTTCTTTGCTCTCATTTGTCAGTTTTCCTAACACACAAAAAGTCCTGCAGTTTGGTTTTTAAATACTTCTTTATTGCTTAGATGACAGAAGGGCAGTCTAGACGGGTTTAATGCCTCGACACCTGAGCTGAAGGCTAACAGCGAGGATTAAGATATCTGATATTTTTACATTATCTAGCCATCTGAAAGGTATTTGAACTCCATAAAGCTCTGCAGCTGAGAGCAGAAAATATACAGTGTAAATGGAAAAGAGTTCAGGGGGTACAGAGAAGAAGAGACGCTTGTTTGTGCTGAAGTTTGAGTGACTCTGTGCAGCTGACAGCAGGACATCTGAGTCTGTTAAAGAAAGGTAAGTGTAGATTCTGTTCAGGTTTCCTTGACTTTGCAAAGGCAGACGAGAACTTCTACACGTGCGCCTGGACCTATGACACCAACACAAGTCACCCCCTGCTGGCTGTGGCCGGATCCCGTGGCATCATCCGGGTGATCAACCACATCACGATGCAGTGCATCAAGGTAACTCGTCAGTCTTCACCCAACTGCTCCATCACTTCTGTCTTTTAGCAGAGTCCACAGTTTTCAAGATATCGTTTTGAAATTTTGTGTGATGGTAGATACTAATAACAGCTCAAGCTGATTTAATTATGGTGAAAATCAGGTCATGATCAAACCAAATGTGAAAATCAGTAAAAAAAAACCTTTATGGATCTTGTAGTTAGTACTGCAGGGTGGCTTTTTAATTTATTGTATATGAATGGATGTCTTGATGCATGCTCAATCATCCAGGTAAGTAAATCTCCAAAACTTGATTCTGTTCATCTGGACGTAGCATTTTGTGGGAGAAATGTTTCGTCACTCATCCAAATGACTTCTTCAGTCTCAGCTGACTGCAGGTTTCCCCAATCTTATAAACAGTACATTTGCATAATGACTGAAACCAGCCCACTGAAGGAACAATGGGCTGGGAGGGCAGTTCCTTAGGCTACATCCACACTAGCCCGGATAGATTTGAAAACGCCGTTTTCATCTGAAAACGCTCCGCGTCCACACTAGCGTTTTCGGCCGTTTTCACAGAGTTGAGCGTCCACATTGAAACGGCCCAAAACACTTACGTTCCAGTCCTGCACATGCGCAAAAGCGAGTGAGAATTAAATAATTTGAAGAAAGGCTATCTGGAGCAGGTACAAACTGATATTAACCTTTTTTATTAGAGCTGTCAAAATTGAGAGCAATCAAAACAACTGCTGTATAATGCACTCCGCTATCTTTGTTTAATTGGTCACATGACTGCATCACATGACTAAAATGCGTCATCGTTTTAGAAAGTCTGCACTTTCAAGTGTCCACACTGCGACGGGACAGCTCCGTTTTTGAAAATGCTGCATTTTTGAGAGCGTTTTCAAAACTCTTCCCTTGAGGAAAACGCTGTCTCAGTGTGGACGGGTTGCAAAACGGAGAGAAAGCGATGTGTTTTCAAACAGCACTGCTGTAGTGTTACTGCAAGCTTAAAATAATCTGTATCACTTTCAGTGCACAGAAAATAGTTTTATTTGATTATGAAGCATTTTCAGGAAGCAACTTATAACAGTAGAGCTTTATTTACATTTTTTTTATTTTTGGAAAGACTTGCATTTAATGGCCCAGAGGAATGATAATAACTATACCGAATTTCACTTCATCTGCCCCAAGTTGTTTTAATTGCACAATGTGAATTAAGAAGTCATTTTTCCCCTTCTTTTCCAGCATTATGTAGGTCACGGGAACGCCATCAACGAGCTGAAGTTTCATCCGAGGGATCCCAATCTGCTCCTCTCTGTCAGCAAAGGTAAACAGTGATTATAAAGCACCTTTGAGCCCTTCTGCGTGCAGTTCAAGGGTTCTTCCCGGCTCGTTATGCACACATAAGCCGGACGGCATCACCTAGAGTTACGCCAATAACCTTGTGTTTCCTTATTTAGCAGAGATTTGCTGATTATTATTTTTTCCCGCTCCTTGGAGGAAAAAAAGAGTTAAGCTGTGTCGCAGAGAGGGCAGAAAGACCAGCAGTTTGTCATATATTTCACTGTGAGGTTAATACAACAGCAGCAATGCATTTATTTAAAAAAAGAAAAAAAAAGGCCCATTTTCTTTGATGGCTTTATTGACCCTCACTCAACAATAAAAATCATCCCGGCAGTAAAACCCCTCTCAACTGTGATTTGTTGCTTCAATCTAAAGAGAAAAAACAGGTCACCTCAGACTCGAGTGTAGTGGGGATAGAGTTTTATTTCCACGGGACTGTCAGGTGGTTCCTTAATCTGAGATAAATCAGACAGCGGGGTTTGGATCTGTCACTGAAGGTCATGTGAACGGCAGCAAAGTTTAATCTTTCCTTTAATCACTGAAGGGTGTTTTTTTTTTTTGTTTTTTTTGTTTTTTAAACACCCTTCAGTGTGATTATAGCTGCTGGGAAGTGCAAAGGTGGTGTGAGTTTTTATGCTTTATGTGATATTTTTGATATATTTAACATGATTAATCAGAGAAGCCAACGCTTATCACGTAGAAAAACTAAGACCGTGTTCAAATAAAGTTGTAAAGTCCTCAAAGAAGAAATTCATTAACAAAATAAAATATAATTCTACCCTTAAAGTATTGAATGCAATATAATATAAATATAATATAAATGCATAGATCAAACTATGTAAAAAATGTAAATATAGAGGGGGGAAAAGGAAAAAAAAAGCTGTGAGCATCTCTTTCACTGACCGGCTGTAAAACAACAATCAGACTTTTTCTTAAAGTCATCTCTTATTTTCAGATCACGCTCTTCGGCTGTGGAACATACAGACGGACACTTTAGTGGCCATTTTCGGAGGCGTCGAGGGTCATCGGGATGAAGTTCTGAGTGCTGTGAGTTTTACAGTATATGTGGGGAAATTTATCTGGGACATAACAGTGACTATTGTGCAACAGGGAAAAAAAGATTCTGAATCGGTCTTTAGGGGATGACTGCACATGTTGGCACCATTACACCAGACAGTACTTCTGCATTGGGTTATTTGGGGGGGAAAAGCTTTTCCTCGACAGCTGACACCACAGACTTGTTCATGTTCTACTTCTCCGAAGTGACTAGTGAAAGTATGTGTGTTTATTTTCAATCTGATTGAAAGTAAACAGAAATTATCCATCTGGTATTGACTATTTTTTACTGGCATTAGATTTTCAGCCTCACAGCAGTATATGCACGTGTGAGGCTGATTCTACAGAAAAAGCTGAATACAAAGTGTGGTCATTTCAGTTTTTGTTTTGATTTGTGATTTTTGGGGGGTGGGAATGAGTTTCTTTTAATGGTTAAAATTGCAGTTTAAAAAATTTCAGATCACAAGCTTGCCCAGTTGTCGGTGGTGTTCCTCTGGGCTGTGTCGTTGTCAGGTTTATCTGTCTATTAAGACCATCCCACCTTATTCTGTTACTTAACTTACACAATATTAAATCATAGTTGTCTGCTAATTTTCTGAAATGGTGACAAAACAGATGTTTTAGGTGAATGTGATTAAATTCTGTCTGTACTGACAGTTCACATTCTCCTATTATCCATTTCCTGTTTTGTAGGATTTTGATCTCCTAGGTGAAAAGATTATGTCATGTGGGATGGACCACTCGCTAAAACTGTGGAGGATCAATTCGGAGAGATTGCAGAAAGCCATTCGCGCGTCTTATGAGTACAACCCCTCAAAGACAAACAGGTGAGACGTCCAGAAGCTTTTTCTGTGGTCTGTTTTCATATCTGTGGATTTACATACATGGCATTATATTTTCTTATGTTGTTGTGGTTTTTTTTGTTTGTTTGTTTGTTTTTTTGTTTTGTTTTTTTTAGGGCATTTGTCTCACAGAAAATCCACTTCCCCGACTTCTCAACACGTGACATTCATAGAAACTATGTGGACTGTGTGCGGTGGCTTGGTGATCTTATTCTTTCTAAGGCAAGTGAAAGGAAATCCTTTAATGCTACCCAAAAGGGTTTTTTTGTTTTTTTTCTTTTTAAGTTACCGTATATTCTGCACTATAAGGTGCACTTAAAATCCTTTCATTTTCTCAAAAATTGACAGTGCGCCTTATAATCCGGTGTGCCTTATGGATGAATTATGGTTGTGCTTACTGACCTCAAACTTATGTGGTACACGGCGCTCAAAAATGCTCAAAAAAATGTTTTAGTACGAGTTTGTTAAGCAACAAAGCCGCACTGCTTGATGGATTGTTGGAGCATTATGGCTATTGTATCTAGGGGACTCAGAGTAATCTGGGTCCAAAACTCAGTCTGATTCATGTCCCAAAGTCGAACGAGCACTGCGGCATCACTGAGAGTTCATCTTTAATAAAATGATCAGCGTTGCTGCTTTACCAGTTGTAACAATTAAGTTTAACATCCAGACATCCATGAAAACAGAATTTATTCATTTTAATGGCGTTAGAAGTTAGCAGGAAGTTAGCTCGCTAGTTTCCACCTAAACATGATATAGCATGTTCTGACTGAGAGATTTCTGAAGAAATTAAAACTTACAGCTCTGCCATCACTTCCAACAGAAAACTAAACAGCAGTGACGTTTGTAGGGCTACTAAAGTTGGACTAGCTGGGGTATAATGATATGCTACTAGCAACACAGCTATGTTAGCATAACAAACACAGTGAAGCTGGAGGATGAACGCTAACAATTTTCCACTCGATAAACGTTAACGTGAGGGACTCTGGTGGTTAGGGACAAATGCAATCGCATGGCAGGATGCTGTAAACGGACCAAACTTCAGTCAGGAGAACAACTGAGATAATCCATCCACAATATGAGGTTAGTCATTAATATACTGCAGCAACATGGGAACAGAGCAGCTGCAAGAGAATTCAGCATTAATGAATCACTGGTACAGAAGTGGAGGAAGCAAGAAGAATGAGTTAAGTCTGACTTATTTGACTGTTTTGTTTTGCTTAATGCGCCTTATAATCCGCTGCGCCTTATTCAGCGCCTTAAAGTTTTAATGAAACAACAAAATGTACAACTGAGTTTGTGTTGTCATTCCAGTCTTGTGAAAACGCCATTGTGTGCTGGAAACCCGGGAAGATGGAGGATGACATTGATCACATTAAACCAAATGAGTCAAATGTGACGATTCTGGGACGCTTTGACTACAGCCAGTGTGACATTTGGTACATGCGCTTCTCCATGGACTTCTGGCAGAAGGTCAGCTATCTTACCTTTATTTATTTTGTGTATGATCAGGTTTTATATTTTCATTCTCATTTGTACTGATTAAAGGACAAAACCAGAATAATCTAATGTTTCGTCTCAAATACAGTTTTATTTTTCATCTGTTGGAAAGAATTGCATCATTTAATTGATTTACTTGAAAGGTCAGTCAATGCTAACCCAGTGTTTCCAGTTGTCCTGTCTTTCTGGTTGGCCAGGTTGCTGTCATTGTGCTCTTTAATATCAATTAGCCACTTGTCCAGCAAGTTTCTAGCTGTCAGCTGCAGTCTAACCTGGAGTTGGAGGTCACTGGCAGGTTTTAAGTAGTTTATTATCACTGATATTTAGTTCTTAAGAAATAAAAACTCTTGCAGAGAAGTGGAAGCTAAATCTGTAGGAAACACTGGATGCTGAGAGTTGTTTGTTTGTTTTCTTGTTGTGTCTTGGTGCTCTTACTGACCTCTGCTGTGATGCTGATACACAGATGCTGGCTCTGGGGAATCAGGTGGGGAAGCTTTACGTGTGGGACCTTGAAGTAGAAGATCCGCACAAAGCCAAGTAAGTAAAAAAACAAAAAACAGACAACAGGCGTGCTATAGTTGTCCTGTATCTCCACTGCTCTTTGCCCTGCTTTTAGCATCAAAATATCACAATAAACGCTCATAAACTTAAACAGGTTGTTGTATTTGATCAGCTACACCCTTAGTTTAGCTCACATTAGCTGTTAGAAGAAAATAACACAGGGCCGTGTGGTTTGGGAATCTTCATATTGTGCTACTAGAAGTTTGGCGTATAGCTCATCGGGAGCCCTGAGGAACTACCGTCAGCACTGTTCCATGTTTGTTGTTCATATGGCTCATCATATCCTTTTAAGGTTTGGAATCAGTACCGTTGTCAGGAGGTTTGGTGGTAGGACAGAAATCTCAACCATGTAGAGCCATTTTAATCTAAAAAGTATTCTAAAGTCTCTGAGAAGTGACTGTGGAGTATATTTAAGCAAAGACCACCTACCATTAGACCCCAGTTGTATCATCTAATCTCACCGTGTCTGGAAACTTGCAGTAAGTGCAGTTTCAACGGTATTACTGCCGCCATCTGGCTGTTTCATGTTCCACGTATTGGTAAACCCATGAGAAAGCCAATATGATGACTTGAATCCTTGGAAAAATTGAAAGCATCAAACACTGAAGAGCTGCAGTGCGGTGCTTTGGTTAACTGTAACACTTCGTATTTAAGCTTGGAAGTATGTGGTTTACAGTAGTGTCAGTTATTTCCACGGTTTTTAGTAATACCATTTCTTCCTGGAGCATACAGAAAGGCTTCTCCTCCATCAGTTACACAGATTTCCTTACAAGTGACTGCAACAACAGTAGTTGCAGTTGTAGTTGAAGGTTATAACACCTGTGCTTTTCCCCCAGGTTGGGAACACTGCTGCACCTAAATATTTACAGGCTTCGTTACCACTTTTTTTCCAAGTTCTTTTGAAAAGGCATTCAATTTCCTTCCTTGTGCATTTTGACAAGGAATTGGCTGAACCAGGAATGTGCAGGAATGATGCCGGTTAAAAGCAACACTGTCTGAAGTGACAAAATAGTGGAAAAATGCCAGTTTAGTGCAGCTCAGAGGTTAAAACTTAAAACTGCTAAATGGTGCCGTCTTCACGATCAATTATTGCAGCATTGTCACACTTCTCTGAGCACCAATGCCCCATAGAAAGCTGCTGTGATGTCTTCCTGTGTCTTTTTTTTACCTGGCACATTTAATGAAATTGGGACTCTTTTTGTCTGATTTATGGTCAGAACACTGATTTTTAAACAACAAATATTCACAGGATACAAAAGAAACATTTTTATTTCAATTGTTTCATCATTTTTGTAATTGACACTAACAAAGGTTTCTCTGTATTTTTTTGTTTGTTTTGGTTTTTTACAATTTTCCCCCAACTATCTCTGTTCCTCTTCAGGTGCACCACGCTGACCCTCCCCAAATGCACATCAGCCATCCGGCAAACCAGCTTCAGCCGCGACAGCAGCATTTTGATAGCGGTGTGCGATGACGCCTCCATCTGGCGCTGGGATCGACAGCGCTGAGGTCTCCGGTTGTTCCTGTTGCTTCCAACTCCCCTGCCTCTGTGTTGGTGTACAGATCTGCACTGCAACAAGAAAATGTCTGTACATTTATTCTTGTATGCAGATTAAAAATAGTTTTGTTTGTTTTTTTTGTTTTTTAATTCCATAAAAAGAAAGCCGCCTTTTGTCTTCATTTCCTGTTTGTCTGCCAGCTTAATTGTGAAGGGAAGAAAAAAACAGATTTGCAGTGTTTTTGATCCAATAAAACTTGGATTTACTCTGTTAGATGAACAATGTTAAGCCGAAGGATGAAAAAAGGAACAGCCCTGAAGCCTGTCTTGGTGTCCTCTCTGGGTGCCTTCTGGTTTGCTATGCTGTCCCATCCATTGAAATTATAACAATAAAAAAGGAAATGTGTGGAAAAATAAGATATTTTTAATGCATGAAAACAGAATTTTCTGTTGTAATGTGCCGTGTTTTTAATTATTACAGTAATAATTGGTTTGCTTTGATGCCCCCATTCACACACATGGACTGCTGTTGCATAATTTACAGTGTGCTCTTTGACACTGGAGTATTCGCACACACACACACACATGTAAAAACTGAATAAAGTCTTTTGTAGCTGTTTCCCAGCGTGATGTTTGTTTAGGACGGTATTAGCATAAAAATAAGCTTTTATTTTGAAAACTTTAGTCCTGTTACAGGGAGCAAAAGGCAGGTGTTTTGTCTTTATTTATCTGGAGTCATTTGAACTTGAATAAAACTTAATTTCTATAAATATATCAATATCAGACTTTTTTTTTCTCTGACTAACAGATAAAAGTGCGCACTAAATGAAGTTTAGACGCTCTACACTTTCTGCCCCACTCACGCAGGAGTCATGTGATCTAAGACTTTGCCCCTGGTCTCGTCTTGATGAACTACCTCCGATCAAACGCCACTTTAGTCCACACGCGAGCGCGTGAAAAATGACGTCGTCTGTCCGCTGCGGACTTTTGCCCTCCGATTGACTGGACGAGATAAACCAGACTCAGCCGCAAAGACTCCAGCATGTTTTCGCCAAAATCACCAAAAAGCTCGTCCAGGTACGGCTCCGGGGAGCAGATCTGCATGGTTGAATGTGGCGGTAAGCCCAGATGCATCTGTAACGTCAACTCAGAGGGCTGCAACAGGAGGGGCTGTACGGCACAGTTAAAGGTAGGCCTTCAAACAGCTGTGGAACATCTGCAGCTGATGGCTTAGAGAAAATTTGATCGCTAAGACCTCATCTTAAAAAAGCTGGAAAGTAGTTACGTCTTAATTATACATTTGTTAGGATGTAGTCCCTCTGTTATATTGAAGAGCGGGAGTATATATATTTTCTTTTGAAACGTAATAAATATTTTACTGGGATAAAATAATCTGATAATTAAACCTCAATTTGTGGTTGAAATACAATGTAAAGAAATTCGGTTTGTTAAAGTAGACAAGAAATCTCCAAGAACATTTTTTTGCAGAGACAACATAAATGTTATGTGTGTTTTCATTATAAAAGAGAAGAATAGTTTGCACTGGCAGCAGGGACAGCTTCACAGGCTGAACAACAAAGCCCACCTTAAAGAAACAAAACCTTCCCCAAATTCTATGTGTTTGTGCCTGTTGGAAGGGTTTAGGTGTGTGGCCTCATGTGTTTATAATTATAATAATAGCCTAAATCAGCAGTTTGTTCTTCACTGTTAACAAGTGAAACTCTTGTTCACACTTCACTCATAAGTACTACCTGTTGCCTAGAATGAGTATATGTGAGAAGAGAATATGAAAAGGTGAAAATCTCAACATAGCTCAACAGCAATGCAGTTCGATTAAAACATGTCTTTGGCCTCGATTTGACAGACTTCTCACATAATACTAGCTTAATGTGGGTGGTACAGTGTGGAAAGGTTCCAGAAGCTGACTCTGAGTTTGTATTTTATTCCAAATCATTAGTGTAAAACTATTTTAATTTATTACAGGTTAGTTACCGTTAGTTACCAATCGACTGCTATCTAGTGTGTGTCAACAATTTTCTTTCCCAAAAGGAAGCTTCTACGCCTCAGGCAGACAAGTAACCGTGCAGTACAGGCGCTGAGTGAGTCACTCAGGTACTCACCCCTCTTTTAGTGGAACTAGATTCAGTGATTCAAATCGTTGGTACTCTCTGGTCTTCATGTGGTTTCACAAGTCTCAACAGACAACATAAACGCCCCCAAATAAAGTGGAGCAATAAGCACAGCGTGTTGGCTGGCCAGAGTTCTGGACACTGAGTTGCCCAGAGTGTAATTTATTTTCTCAGCGTTTCTCAAATGTTATTAAATAAGTTTCATCTTTGAACTAAAAACCAGCTTGAAACCATGGCTCTCACTCGAACCCCGAAACAACCTCCAAAGAAAGGAAGTCAAGCACTCATCTGCCCCGGTGGCCTAATGGATAAGGCACTGGCCTCCTAAGCCAGGGATTGTGGGTTCGAGTCCCATCTGGGGTGCT